TTTTTTTGCCTAATAATTTCTAAACAAATATTAACAGAAATGCTCTCAAAATATTAAATTTAGCAACAAATTTGTTTATAAAACGTCTAATCAAACGCTATTAAGCTTTCAGACGTGCACAGTTTTATTTTGATAAAAGATTAAATTAGTGAAAAATCAAACAAACACATTTTATGCTCAAAAAGTTGACAATAACAAAATAAAAATAATTTTCAAAATAATATTTTATTGAACTTTTGTTTGTATTCATGAAATCTCACACCTTTAAATAAACTTTAATCGTTATAAGTGCTTAGAATGTTCAAATAAGTGAGAAGCTTACTGAGATCGGTGGTGTGCTGAAGTACCATCATTAATACCGCTGGTACCGATAAGCATTCTTGTTTAGGTACCAAAATAAAAGGTAAAAAACAAGTGCTAATAAGGTGTACAAGTTTTTTATCTAATTCAGCAGGCAGAATACCCAACTGAGATGCTAACATGAATGGTAATTGTTCAACAACATCACGTTGAAGAAAAAAGTATAATGCCTTCACTGCATCTAATATTGCATCGCCAATTGCTGCAAACTGTCCATCCATAAATAACTTTATGAATATTATAAAATTTTTTAACTTTGTACACTTAACAAAAGCATATTATTAATACTCCAAACTTTTTATCCTAATATTGAAAGTATTTTCAAATTAATTTTGTTTTTATTTCAATAAAAAATTATTGCCAAGATGTGAAGTTGGAATTTGTTGAAAAACATCCAACAAATTGACGATGCCATAATAAAGACCAGAATAGTTTAAATTTGGATATAAGCTTGATCTATTAATCGTTGACGAGAAACGTTCAAATGCACTAGATGGAACCACAGGCATTTCTTCAAGAAACCTATAATTTTAACAAATTGAAACATTTTTTGAAAAGTTGTTTTTTGTAACAATTCAAATAATTCGAATTTCAGTTAAATTATTCTTTTTTTTGCAAACTTTTCTTATAGTTTTTTTCCCTTTTTTTGCAATATATTGAATTTAAGTTTCAAAGTTAGTTACTTGTTTATTCAATTTTATTATCTTTAAAATAACTCGTTAATGCTTTGCATACATACAATTAGCTTTTCAGCCAAGTAAACACATTCTGCCTATACTAATTATGTCAAATACAAATACAAGAATTAGATTACAAGTTGAAACTGCACAATTCAACTATTATCAAAATCTGAATACTTTTTTGAAGAAACAGAAAAAATTCTATCTGCAAACATGTATTCTTAGCATCTGATCATTAGACTTACATAATTAATTAGCAAGTGAAGTTTTTAGTTTTGCTCATAACGAAATGAAAACTTCGCTAATTAACAAAGTTTGGAAAATTTTACATCCAAAATTAATAAATAATTATTGATAGGTTATAAGCATTGAGGACTATATCTTCAATAAAATGAACAGTCAAACAAACACATTTATGCATACTTAATGTTAAATAAAATGTAAACTTTCAATCTTATAATAATTATTATAAAATATTTGATCAGAAAATAAGCGCATTTTATATTGACTACATTTCGATCTGGAAATAAAGTAATAATTCTTAGCTTTAAAATTTGTAAAAAAAATCTGTGTTGATGAAAAGTTAGATTTAAAGATTTAATAATTAAACAACAGCTAAATATTCTGAATAACAATCATTCTGATACTTTTATTCACTGATGCAAACAAAGATATTGAAATTGCAATTTTAGGGATTAGAATTAATCTAATTCTACAGTAGTAACTATTGATCTATTCTCTTATTAATTTAGTAGTTCTTATATCAGTTACAGTAATCGTTTACCAGTAATCATCATTGTTCATTTATTTAATCTTCTAATTATCCAAGTATCCGCAATTTTACGTGAGTGTTTTGAAAGCTTTATACAATCTTATTTAAACGTTAAGTCTAATTTTATTACTTTTAAAAGATATTGTTACAGGTAATCCAAAATTTAAATAATTGAAATTAAATATTAATGAGGTACTATGAGGTATGAGGTTATTAGGTTATGAGGTGGTTTGTTGGTTATGAGGTTACAAGAATATGAAGTCATTTTCTCAAAAAAATGAGGTTATGGTATTATATGGTATGAGGTTATGGTATTATGAGATATGAGGTTATGAGGTTAAGTATTATAAGGTATCCAAAATATGAAATAATAGAAAAAATTGAAATTAAATATTAATCTGATGAGGTATTATTACTAGTGAACTTTTATTCTTTTATGCATAAAAAATATTGAAATTGCAATTTTAAAGATTATAAATTATTCGTCGCAAACTGAACTTTTCAAAAAATTATAATAAAATGCAATTATTTTCTATCGCAATTTCAGTTTCAATTTGAAATTAGCGCAAAAAAATATTTAAGAGAAAACTTTTTGGCAATTCTAAATATCATTTTGTAAGCAAAAAGCTCTGCAAATGATACTCAAAAAAAAATGAAGGAAACAAACACTGAATTTATAAGGCAAATTGCGCAAAGAAAAATACTAAATTAGAATTTGTGCTTCAGATTTCTTTTCTGAAAATTGCACAATTTTTTTATGCATTTAAAAATTTTTAGAAATAACTTTTTAAAAAAATCTTTGAGTAAAAATACATTTGCAAGCACACACAAAATTTGATCTATTCTTAAAAAATAAATCTATGCTTAAAAAAAATAAGAAATGGCGATTGATGTGAAAATGCACTATGATTTCAAGCGTAAACTTATATTCAAAAATTTGAAATAGCGCAAAATAAGAATAACCTTTTTTATTATTAAAAAATAAAACTACAGAAATTATATAAGCTAGTAAGTCCTTCCTCGTACATCAAGAGTCTTAAATACTTTTAAATCCTTTTTCTTTAAATTGTTAAATATTAAAAATAAAAAAATTATTCTCGAATATTGAAGAAAATATTTTGAAGATAACTTAAAGTAAATTTTTAAATATACAAAGTTAACAACTGACCTGATAAGAGTTTGGTGAAAGTAACGTAAAGTTGTTAGTATTTCCGCAGCAGTAGGCGGTTGTTGATTGCACGCAATGCGAGTGTGAAATTCGCTTAGTGTCCGAATTTTGGCCGAAACTAAATTTGCATATTTAATAAAACCAATATTACAATTTTTGAAACAAATTTATACTATTTACTGTTTCAGTCTATATACTTCTTTTTACCTTTGACCTTTGTATATCGTCACATCTTTTTTATGATTAAAAAAGTTTTGAAAGCATTCAGATTAATTTTTGTATATTTTCAAAAAACAATCGTAGTACGTGCAGGAATATCAATTTGCATAAATTAAATCATTGAAAAACTTAATTTATGCAATTTCTTTTTTTGAGAAAGAGAATTATTTTATTCAAGAAATCGCTTAATTTATTTTCTCATATGACTGAACCAAATTCATATTTCTGAAAAGTTTGCATAACCAAATTAAGCAATTTTGAACTGATCAGCAAACTCCGACAATAAAAAGCATTCTGTTCTGAATATGTAATTCAATTTCGAACTGTCAGTTGCTAAAAAATTAATACTGCTAATATTTGCTGATATTTAATAATCGAATATACTTATCGAAAGTTGCACTTAAAGTTGAAACTTTTTACATTACTTTCATTATACATGCATAAATTTAAATATTTTAGCGATATCAAGAAACAAAATCGTAAACTATTAAACAATTTAGGTTGAAATAAAACCAATCAGCCCGTGCTCGCAAACTTTTCATCCATTCTTTGCACGTAAACTCCATTACAAGTATTTACAGTCTTAATTAAGTGATATACATTACATTCGCATCAATATGGCGTGTAATTTTCATGCTATTAATAAAAGTCAAGTGAATTTTATACAACTCACAAGTGTAATATTTCAGCATATAAGCCATAGATGAAGGAGTAATACGGTATCAAAAGATACAACTTAACGTGACTCGTATAACCTCTTTTTGACAAGATCAAGTGATTCAAATTTTAACCACAGTAAAAGTGTAATAATTTTTGCATGTAGTTTATTTCGCGCACAATTTAGTTAAGTGGGTGGAGCTAATGTTTATTTCTTAACCACGCCTGCATTTTCCATACATTGGGAGTGGTAGTATAAAAAGTAGGATGAATGAATTTATATTCGCACAAATTAATTTAGGGAGGTGCCGATGTTACTTGCTAATGACAAGTTTTCTTAGTTCTTTTATTATCAATCAATAATTACTCATTTGTTCAATAAGTTAGTCTGGTGAATAAATTAATCTAAGTTAAATGAAGTAAAAATAGAAGAATAACTGAATAAATAGATAAATGAAATGGATAAATCGGTGGTAGGTAGATGATAGTTGATTCCTCAAAGATCTGACATACAAGGATATTTCTTTCTTCACCCATCTTTTACTTCAGTCCAAGCAGCAAATGCACACAAACATTTATTTCGTACATAACTAATTTATGCATTAAAAAATGATGTAAAAGAAGTAACGTAAATACACGAACATGTCGCACTGCGTGTCATAACGTAACTCATCTCTCCACGTAAGTCGCAGATATTACCACGACATCAACGTTACTTGCTGCAAAATGCTTCTCTGCCAACATCCAAGAAAAGCAGTAACCGCACCGCACAATTTCACACGATTGATTGAGCGTAAGCTTGCATACTTCAGGCGTAGCGCTTTATTATTCTTTCCAGATCCATCACAACACACACACACATACCCTCACTTGCTTTTTACATGTCTTCCTTATTTCCATTTCACCAGTGACCTTTAACCCTGTGTACTGCTTGCTTTAAAAAGACAAAAACGAATATGTTTATTAATGTAAAAACAACATCTTACATCTATTGACCATGAGACAATGTCAGATTTACTAACATGCACTACGAACAATACTAAATTAATTTGACAATGACCGAAAACAATGTTAAATTAAATGATACCGAACAATACTAAATTGATAAATACATGATAATTAGGTAATTAGTCTCCACGATCTATACGAAGAAGCTTCATAACATAATGTATAACATTCTCGTCGTCTTTCTGACGAGCTTCTGTCACTAACTTTTGGATGCCAGTCACTGGTAACCACATAAGCAAAGCATGTCCAATACGATCTAACTGTTCTCTTAAATTACCATTTAACATTAATTCCTCTGTAGGAATATAGATCAATTTGCGAATGAATTTAATCGGCACTCTGGCATCAGGAAAGACATGGTGAAACAATTTTGAAACATCAATATCAGGCAAATATTGAAGCACTTTCAAGTGCCCTGCATACAAAGCATGTAATATAGCTGCTGCGATATACTTGGTGTTATCAGTAGTTACTGAATATCTATAGACGCTATATGGTGTATCAGGCTTAGCAAATTCTTCTACATACACCACGTTATTCAAACGATCATCACGTATGCCAATCCACGCACATACTGCACCTGACCAGCCTTGGCTTGCTGCTACTTTTATACTGCTGTATTGAAGTGATTGATAGAGATACATTCCATATTTCATTAAGATCGCCGTATGTTTTATGACACAGTTAGGAGAACTCCTCATATCATACTTCTCTGTATCAGTGAGTTCCTGCCATAGAGCCTAAAAAACAAAGCAAGCGCATTATTCAGGTTTTACTCTGAAATAATATTTAATGCATGACTTTATCTTTCTTTCCAAAGATTTTTTTTCATGAAACACACAGGAAAAAGCAATGAAACACTGATTGCTACGAGAAGACATAAAAACCACTCAGGTGAAATGCTGAATATTTTTCAATCACAGCATCCTATGACAAAGCTCTTTGAGACCTTATTTTCAACTTGAATAATACTCGACAAATGAATCTCAGTGATGTCACCTAACAAAGCAATCCACGCATTTGACACAGCTCCTATCATGCATTTATCATTAACTTATCCTCGAAATGAACCGAAACTCTGTTAAAATGCTCAATGCAACATTTCTGGAAATAAGCGAATTCTTCTTGTCCTATTTTAGTTAATGAAGCACTGAGGTGTTAATCAACAGTAATGCTTGTAATCAATTAACAAACCACAAATCAGAACCAAAATAAAAATGGATTCTTAATGTGTGTGACGATTTAAACATGCAAGTGGAGCCCTTGTTGAATACTTTCCCTAAATTAAAAAATTAATTGCAAATTGTGATTCCTTAGGTCCTAATAAGCTCATATAAATATAAATGTAATACTTTCTCCATCTTTTCCAAAAAATGGCATTATTTAGCATTTTCAAGTACTGAATATTTGCTTTGCAATACAAATATGCAGCATTTTCCATGATAAAGCCATTTGAAGCAAATACTCTCTACATTTTGATTCATACAGGATTTTGAGTATGAAAGAATACAAAAAACTGAAATACAATGACAGGTATATAATGGATTTAAAATGGTTTCCGCAGAATAATTTTCTCCACAGCAATTTCTAATTCTTACCAAATCAACTTGCACAAATTC